TGGGTACCGAAAGAATGGGTACAATGCCCGACAACAAATGTTGTCCCAAACCAACAGCGGCCGCTGTTGGGCAGGCGGCCTCCTGTCTCAAGTGGACACAGGCCGCGGCGGCGCGGACAGCAGTTCCTGTTCAAAATGAACAGGAACTGCTGTTGGGCATTGTACCCATTCTTTCAGTACCAATCTTGTGCGTGCAGAAATAGAGTTCCAACAGAAACCCGACTGAGCCCCAGGACGGCCCCGCCTCTTGATCCACTGTCGGCCACAGGTGCCCTGCGGCTCCGCCGCGGATTCGCGTCTGCTCTCTCCCCTCCTGCATGCCATACAAATTCCACCCCGGTTCTGCTGCCCTCCCTGCTTCCCTTCGTCGGCGCCCCCGTCGCCTCCTGCCTGCGTCGCAGACGGCGGCAGCCGACGCAGATGAACAGCCAACGTTCGTGCGCATTCCAATGCTTTCCCGAATGCTTGGGCCACCCGAACTTTTTGTTCTGCGAGTCGCTCCGCCAATGCCTCAGGGGCCCCTACTTCAACTTCACAAGGGCGAAACCCCGCGGTAAATGCACCACGTTTCCATGTGAATCAGCATCCCTTCTTCGACTGCTTACCCCCAAGACGACCCCCAGGTGGGCCTGACACTCCCAGAGTGCCCCCAAGACGACCCAAGATGGCCCTCAGGCAGCCTCAAAGGCCTCCTGGAGATCTCCAAGAGCACACCCACGAGACCCGCAAGGACCCATGACGAGCGCCAAGTCCACCCTACACCCTAATACTCATGTGTTCCCCTAGTCTCGACGTCCCGACGGCAATTTTAGGTCGATTGTTGATTGTCTGCCACGCCTGCCTGGCGTCCACATCAGGGAAGGGGGCGGAACAAAAATCGCCATAGGCGTCTTCCATACCCAACCGCGTGGTCAAGTCACCCAGAGACGCCGTGCAAGTAGTGCTGTCCTGCAGTCGCCGATTCTCCAAGCAGACAAGCTGGGTGGTCAGCTCGCCCAGCGATCCCTTGCCCCACGCCGCGTCCAGGGCGCCGAGCCGGGTGGTCAGGTCGTTCAGTGCCTCCCTGCTCTGGGTTCTCTCCTGCTGCCGCTCCTCCAAAGCATTGAGCCGCGCGCTGAGCTCCCCAAGCGACTCCTCGTCGTGAGCGTGCCCTTGCTGCCGACACCTCTCCAAAACACCAAGCCGCACGGCGAGCTCACCCACAGACTCCCTGCACTCTGTGGCGTCCTGTCGTCGTCGCTCCTCCAAGCCACCGAGCTTGGTGGTCAGCTCGCTCAACGACCCCTTGCCCCAGGCAGCGTCCAGGGCGCCGAGCCGGGTGGTCAGGTCGTTCACCGTATCCCTGCCCTGGGCGCTCTCATGCTGCCGCCACTCCTCCAAAGCACTGAGCCGCGCGCCGAGCTCGCCATGGGACTCCTTGTCTTGAGCTTGCCATTGCTGCCGCCACCTCTCCAGAGCACCAAACCGCACGGCCAGCTCACCCAAAGCCTCCCTGCTCTCTGTCGCATCTTGTCGTCGTCGCTCCTCCAAGCCACCGAGCTGGGTGGTCAGCTCGCTCAACGATCCCTTGCCCCACGCGGCGTCCAGGGCACCGAGCCGAGAGGTCAGGTCGTTCAGTGCCTCCCTGCCCTGGGTGCTCTCATGCTGTCGCCACTCCTCTAGAGCACCCAGCTGCGCGCCGAGCTTGCCCAACGACTCTTTTTCTTGAGCTTGCCCTTGCTGCCGCCACCTCTCCAGAACACCAAGCCGCGTGCTCAACTCGCTCAGAGACTCCCTGCACTCTATGGCGTTCTGTCGTCGTCGCTCCTCCAAGCCACCGAGCTGGGTGGTCAGCTCGCTCAACGATCCCTTGCCCCACGCGGCGTCCAGGGCGCCGAGCCGGGCGGTCAGGTCGTTCAGTGCCTCACTGCTCTGGGTGCTCTCATGCTGTCGCCACTCCTCCAAAGCATTGAGCCGCGCGCCGAGCTCGCCAAGTGAATTCTCGTCTTGAGCGTGCCCTTGCTGTCGACACCTCTCCAGATCACCAAGCCGCGCGGCCAGCTCGCCTAAAGACTCCCTGCAATATGTGGCGTCCTGTCGTCGTCGCTCCTCCAAGCCACCGAGCTTGGTGGTCAGCTCGCTCAACAATCCCTTGCCCCACGCCGCGTCCAGGGCGCCGAGCCGGGTGGTCAGGTCGTTCAGTGCCTCTCTGCTCTGGGAGCTATCATGCTGCCGCCACTCCTCCAAAGCATTGAGCCGCGCGACGAGCTTGCCAAGCGAATCCTCGTCGTGAGCGTGCCCTTGCTGTCGACACCTCTCCAAAACACCAAGCCGCGCGGCGAGCTCACCCATAGACTCCCTGCAATCTGTGGCGTCCTGTCGTCGTCGCTCCTCCAAGCCACCGAGCTTGGTGGTCAGCTCCCTCAGCGACCCCTTGCCCCAGGCAGCGTCCAGGGCGCCGAGCCGGGTGGTCAGGTCGTTCACCGTATCCCTGCCCTGGGCGCTCTCATGCTGCCGCCACTCCTCCAAAGCACTGAGCCGCGCGCCGAGCTCGCCATGGGACTCCTTGTCTTGAGCTTGCCCTTGCTGCCGCCACCTCTCCAGAGCACCAAACCGCACGGCCAGCTCACCCAAAGCCTCCCTGCTCTCTGTCGCATCTTGTCGTCGTCGCTCCTCCAAGCCACCGAGCTGGGTGGTCAGCTCGCTCAACGATCCCTTGCCCCACGCGGCGTCCAGAGCGCCGAGACTGGATGCCAAGTTGTTCAGACAATCGCTGCTTTTTTCGCTTTGCTGTCGCCACTCCTCCAGAGCATCCAGTCGAATGGCCAACTCGCTCCGACCACAGTGCCAGTCTTTAGAATTTTCGCGCAATGACGCGGCGCCTCTGATACACTCCTGCTGCTGCAACTCCACGACACCGATCCGTGCGCTCAGCTCGCTCAGGCATTCGCTCTCTTCCGTACTGTCCTGCTGTTGTTTTTCTTCCAGGGCACCGAGCCGCGTGCTTAGTTCGCTCAGCGATTCGGTGTAACCTGAGTTGTCCAGCTGTCGTCGGTCATCTACAGCGCCGAGCAGCGTGGTCGGATCGCTCAGCAACTCTAGCCGCTTGGCAAGCTCCCGCTGCTGTCGCTCTTCCGAGATCCGCCACCGTGCCGCAGCCACTGAGTTGAGTTTCCTCAGGCCCTCTGAACTCTTATTGCTGGAGTGTGTGTCCAAACTTCTGGAGATGACCCTGCATTTGTGGGCGGAAGGGCGTGGGCGCCGGCCGATAACCTGACCTTTCCGCCGTGGGCGACAACACATCTGCATCTGCGCACCACCGGCATGCGCGCTGGCGCACAAGCCTGTGCGAAGCCCACGATTGTGCGCATCCCTGGCACAGGAGCGTTCACGTCACAAACCGCGAGACGGCGAAGAAGCCCTCACCTGGCCAGTTATACTGGCCGGGCCTTGGTACAATATATATATATATATGTATATCTATATATATATATATGTTGTGTCGAGCGCCCGATCACGCACAACCAGACTCCTGGACTTACATGGACCCTGCGAGCACCTACCGAAAAGGCATACGAACAATACAACAGGCGTGCCATCACCACCAACTTCTGTTGCACCCTCGGGGGAACGTCTGTCCCGTCGCGGCCCCATCCGCGTCGCATCGGTGCCGAATCCATGTCGGGTTCGTCGGATCTGTGTCGAACTCGTGTCGGATCCGCGTCGGATCCACGCCAGATCCGTGTCGGGCGCAGGAACAGACACCAGTTACGGGGACGGGCAGGGCTCCCCGAAGACGAAGCGCAGACCACCGTGCCCGCGATCGCCACAGCACAGGCTGCGAGCGCCGCACCGTGTCCGAGAGAGCCACGCCGTGCACGTGACTTTTGCACCAGGCGGCGAGGGAAACCGGACCTGCAATGTGCAGTCCACGAGCCGACGTACACAAGCGGAGCAGTACACCCGTCAATCGGAAGAGGTGGGCAGAAACATTAAGTACAATGAATACGTATCTCAAGGACGGGTGGCGAGGACGCAAGACCCTTGGAGGCCGAAGTTGGGATCTTTGGGCGACGGGCGACCAGTGAAGACGGCAGTGGCAAGGACACGAGTGGTCCCTAGAAGAGGCGCGCGTCTTTACTACGCGCGCTGACCATAGGAAGGCGTTGGTCCTCGCCAATGGTCGTCGTCGACATTCCGCCGACAGCCGTCGCTCGTCGTCGTCGTCGTCGTCGTCGTCGTCGTCGTCGTCGTCGTCGCCAGAAGCTTGCACAGCGTCGGGAACGCCCCGCATCGGCGGCACTGGCAAGAGGCCACTACCCGTCGGTCGAAAGGAAAGGGTGGAATCATGAAGTAGGGAGGCGTTGAAATAGATTGCGCTCGCGTTGGCCCCACGATGATGAGGGAAGAGGGAACCCCGTTCGACCCTTGAAGTGAGAAGGCGCCTGAAATAGATTGGGATCTGGGAGTCCAGGACATCCTGTTTTCAACGACCAGCAGGGAGAGCGATTCTTTCAAGATGGCTAGGCGAGATGGCCTCCAACACGGCCCAAGGCGGTGCAAGATGGACCCTGAAAGGGTGCCAGGAGGCAGAGCGAATTGATGCCCCTTTGGATTCCAAAAGGTGTCGACGTTTTCGCCCTCGAGGGTACCCGACAGCCTCATACGGCCCAAAAGGCCTCCAAAAAGGTCCACAGACGGCCCAAGAGGCCCCCACGAGGGCCCCAACGGGATCCGAGATTGCGTTCAAGACGGTCAAGATGGCCTCCAAGTCGGCCAAGATGGCCCTATACGGCATCCAAGACGGTCAAACATGACCTCCAAGCCAGCCAAGATGGCCCAAGATTGCACATGATGGTGCAAGGCTGCTCCAGATAGCTAATAGAGGCCATCAACAGGCTGGCAGAAAGCGCCCAGAAGACCCCAGAAGGCCCCTCGGAGGCCCCCAAGAGGCCACTTCTTCGTCCGCCTCTCCGCCTTTTTCTTCTTCTTCTTCTTCTTCTTCTTCTCCGGCTCCTTCCCGTCTTCAGCCGCCCAGGTGTGCGCCCGGGAGCTTCCACAACGTATAGGGGACCTCAGGCAGGGGGCGACTTTGACTTGCCGAAGGCGCCTTCGATGCGCAGCTGGGAAGCAAAGCCATCCGACAACTGCTTACACCGAATGCCGTCCTGCTGCCGCCACACTTCCAGAGCAACGATCCGCCCGCTCAGCTCGTCCAGCGCCTCCCTGCCCTGGGCCTGCTCCTGCTCTCGCCGCTCACGACAGACGACGACGACGACGACCACGACGAAGTCGACGACGATTTCGACGACCACGACGACGACGACGACAACGACAAGGACGACGACGACGGACGACGACGACGACGGACGACGGACGACGGACGACGGACGACGACGGCGGACGACGACGACGACGGCGGACGACGACGACGACGACGACGACGACGACGACGACGACGACGACGACGACGACGACGACGACTCCACCACGTGCGCGTGCTCCTGCCGCTGCCTCTCCTCCAGGGCTCGGAAGCTGGCGGCCACGTCGCTCAGCGACTCCTCGGCCCGCGGGCTGTGCTGCCGCCGCCACTCCTCTAAGACGCCCAGCCGCGAGGCCAGCTCGCCCATGGCCCCGCTGCCCTGTCCGGCTACACGCAGGAGCGACCCTGGGTAAGAGTGACCTTTGGTGCGCGACTTTTTGGGGGCCGCGGGGGGACCAAACCTGGGCGCGCAAGACGCTACTATCGCATCGCGTTTGGCGACCAAGGGAACCCATTTGGCCCGCACCAAAGGTCACTCCGGCGAAATGTCACTCTTACGTCTAGTCGACCTGTGCCGTGCCGAGACCGCCGAGACGCGTCGCTCGCTCCGACGGCTCCCTCTGCTGCAGCTCCTCCACGGCAGCGAGCCGCGCGGCCAGCTCGCTCAGCTTCTGCCGCAGCGCCTCCTGCAGGGCAGGTCACGGAAAAACAGCCACAGGGACAGTCGTCCTGCAGCTTGTCACGTAGGCCTTGTGGCACCTCTACGTCTCGACAGTGGCCTCGTGCAGCCCATGGCATGGCATTGCCCAAGGCTGGGCATCTCAACGGAACTAGTCCCCTGGGGCACCCTGATCTACGACTGGAGGGGGAAAGCGCAGACGATGAGGGCGAGGAGGCAGCAGGGGACGTGGAGGGGGAAGACGAGCATGAGAAGGATGACGAGAGAAAGGGCCATCGTGGCCCCGATCTGCGAGCCTCCCGCCGGGGGGGCCGCCTCGTGGTGGGCCGGCCGCAGCCAGCGGGCCGACAGCGGCCAGGCGGGCGCATCAGCCACGGCATCTCCGGTCACACCGAGCACGGCCTCGCCTCGCGCTGCCAGGGCTCGGGTAGCGCGGCGCGGCGGGCGGTGCCGCGCCGCGCCTCCTTGTGCGGCGGCGGCGGCGACCGACGAGCCCGCATCGAGGGCCCGAGAGGGCACAGTGGAGGCTGGAACGAGTGGCGGTGCGCCAAGCTCTGGCGGCCTCGTCCGACCTGTGCACCCGCATTTTACCAGCCTGGGACATGTCCCTATCCCTATGCCGGGCACCTCCTCATCACGATGCCAATCTCAGGGGTTCCCTTATTTTTTGAGGGCGAATCCCCAAGATTGTCATCGCCTTTTGGCGTGTCAATCTTAGGGATAGGGATACGTTCGAGGCTGGTAAGCACTGGGCTGAAGTCACACCAGCACACAAACCGGGGGGCAAATCCGGAACCTCAATGAGCGGCAGCGGTGCGCCGGATCGACTACGACTCACAGGCGATACGACAAGCATCGGGCCCACGGCTCGACAGGACTGCTCCAAGGGTTCGTCCACGGTCGCCTGCAGTGTGAGACGGGAGCCAGCAGAGCGCGGGACGTCCGCCGATGCGATACCAATTACGAGCAAAGCCCGTGGCAGCGGATGCAGACAGGCGTACGGACAGGACGGGGCACAGCATGTATGTACGGTCGACAGGGCGACAGCCCGTGCCTTTCTCGCCCTGTACAGGGGGGGAAGGGGTGGTGCAGCAAGAGGTGGCTCAAGAAGTGGTACATCAAGAAGGGGGCGGGGCCCAGGACTGACCAGAGCGTGCGGGAAAAGGCATCCGCGGAAGCGGGCGGAGGCAAGAAGGGCGTACCACGGACGCTATCAGCTACAGACAGGCACGTTCGAACAGTGACGACAGTGGCTGCAGGCAGTGGCAGCAGGCAGCGGTGCGAGAAGACCCGGCAGTGGCAACAGGCAGCGCACCGAGAAGGCCCAGCAGTGGCAGCAGACAGTGGAGCGAGAAGAGACAGAGTGGGCGGTGGTGCAACGGCAGCGGCAATGGCGCAGCACGCAGTGGTGCGAGCAGCGCCGGCAGTGGTGGCCGGCGCAGCGTGCGAGCAGAAGCGACAGTAGCAGGCAGTGGCCGCACTGGCAGACAGGCAGCGGCAACTACCAATCACGAGATCGACGTCAGCAGCCATGGCGAAGGTGGCAACGCGAAGTACGAGCCCGTGGCCATCAGCTACGATGGTGGTGGCGCTCATCACGAGCCCGACGTCATCGGCTACGAGCGTGGCGCCGAGAAGCACGAACCCGATACCATCAGGTACGAGAGTGGTAGCTCTGAGTGGTACGAGAAGGCCTGGCAGTGCGGGCAGGCAGCGGTGCGAGAACCATTGCCTGTGTCGGCGGCGACGTGGATCCGAGCCGCGGTGGCAGCTCTGCCTCCCACGGTAGCCTGCTGGAAACGGGACGCGCCCCAACACAGTGGCCCGATGCGTTTGGTGACGGGCGGGCCCCAAATAGGGGGCCACATGCGAACCCTACCCCTACCCCCCACGATTTCGGAGGGGGAGGGTGGGGTTCGCTTCGTTTGGAGCCCCCGAACGAAGTGAACCCCACCCTCCCCCTCAGAAATCGTGGGGGGTAGGGGTAGGGTTCGCATGTGGCCCCCTACCAAAAAGAAGCCTCTCGGAAGTGGTGCGAGAACAGCAACCATTGGTACTGGTGCAGTGGCAGCTGGCAGTGGTGCAGCAGGCAGTGGTGCCACAAGAGCTGGAAGCGGCAGCGGCAGCGCAGCTGCAGTTCAGCGCGAGCGAGAGGGGCAGGCAGCAGCAGCAGTGGCAGCAGGCATCGTTAATACCGACGGGAAACATACGTCGTCAACTACATCTGCGGTCTGGTGCCGTGAAGAATAGACCGTGGCAGCCGGCAGCAGTGTAAGCGAACCCGAAGTCACCAGTCACGAGCGTGGCGCCGAGAAGCACGAGCCCGATGAGCCCGATGCGATCAGCCGCGAGAGTGGGGGCGCGAGGCGCGAGTCTGACGCCGTCAGAAACGAGGGTGGTAGAGCGAAGCACGCGCCCGATACCGTCAGCTACGAGGGCGGAAGTAAAGCGAAGCATGAACCCGATACAATCAACCACGACGCTGGAATGGCAAACCGCGTACCGTTCCGAGCTGGACGCGGACGGCCGAACAACAGAGGCGGTCGTAAACGGTGGCGCCGCTGGCGTGGCCCACGGGCTGCGGGACCTACCCGCCTGGCGCGAGCTACTGGCCCCACAGATCCTTTACCAATTCCTGGCGAATGTCTGCAGATCCGCGATCGAACGTGGTCATCCAGATGTAGTGCACCTGCAGATCGCCGAGACAATGAAGACCCAACCGACGAAGGAGGCGGCGGAGGAGAAGGAGTTGTCCAGCAGCGACGAGGAGGACGTGGAGGACGTGGGCGCGACTCTCGGGAAGTGGCAGCAGGCAGAGGAGGCTGGAGACAGGACGTCATCAACGACCTCTGCGGGCCAGCGCGTGCGAGAAAAACCAGCAGTGGCAGCCGGCAGCAGTGAGAGAGCTGGACTCCAGACATCATCAACGACATGCTTGGCCCAGCGGCGGCGAGTGGAGCCAGCAGTGGCAGCGGATAGTGGCGGAGCGCACCGGGGCAAAGGAGGCAAGGTCTCTGGCCGAGAAAACATGGTACACGTTCAGAACTTGGGTTAGGTCGGGAACCTTTTCTACGACGTTGACTGGCGAGTCCTGCCGGACCACATGAAGCAGACCGGCATGGTGGACTATTGCAGAGTGCCCACCGAGGACGGCACCGTCTACGGCAGGTCGATGATGCTCGGACGCGTGAGTTTCCCCACCGATGCCGAGGTCCAGCAGGCTATCGCCACTCCCGCCGAGACGACGCTCATGAGTCGGGAAAAGCACATCACTCGGTACCAGAAGTTCTGAACGAGTATACAGGTTTGTCACTGTGGCCATCGCATGTGGTCCAACACTGGCAAGCGAGTGAGAAGAGCCGGCAGTGGCAACAAGCTGGGTACTCCAGATTTCGTAATAAAGGGACGGGGGTCTCATTTCGGGGGGGGTCTCTTCCAGGCTATCTTGGAGGGCCTGGGGGGTCTGGGGACGATGTTTTGGAGGGTTCTCCCACGGGGGAGGTCTGAAATGGCTTGTCTTGGAGGGTCCAGACCCCCTCCCTTTTATTACGAAGTCTGGATACCATACATAGTGGACTACACGCGTGGACCGGCGTGCGTGTACGAGAAGGGCCGGCAGTGAAGCGGGAAGAGGGGCACCGCGGGCGGTGCGCGGCCATCGACTGGGCTCTCAGGCCGTAGAGACAGGGGATGGCTGCCATAGCCGTCCAAAGAGGAGGAGAAGGAGAAGGAGGAGGAGGCGGAGGAGGAGGAGGACGAGGAGGGAGGAGGAGGAGGAGGAGGCGGAGGAGGAGGAGGCGGAGGCGGAGGAGGAGGAGGAGGAGGAGGAGGAGGAGGAGGAGGAGGAGGAGGGAGGAGGGCTTGACCGTCGACGCTGCAGGTATGCGCGGTGGCCCAGAGCCCCGACTGGCTCCTGGCGGCAGCGGCCATGCCCCATCGCGCCAGCACCTCCCCCCCGCCCACCCATTGGGCGTGGGCGGCTGCCGCGGCGGCCTTCGGCAGCGCAAGCCGGCGGGCGACGCGAGGAGCCTACGCTCCCCGACGGACACCGCCGCTTCGCACCGCGCGCGCCCGCGCTCGCCGAAGGGCCCTCCGCCATGCCGCGGCGGCCCTCCGGCAGCGCGACACGGCGGCCGACCCGAGGAGCCCGACGGACACCGCCGGCCTCGCACGACACGCGCGGTCACCGGGGAGGGCCCTCCGTCACGCCCGCGGGTGAGAGCGGGCCGCTGCCCCTGCGCAGCGCGCCGCCGCGCGCCGCAGCCGCGGGCGCGGGCTGCCGAAGCGCCACGCGCACGGCGCACGGGTCACCTCCTCGGCTCGGCCGCGAGCGCGCGGGACAGGAGAGCCCGAGATCCTGGCGTCGCAGTTCCGAGAACGACAGGCGAGCTTGCTTCGGCTTCGGGCCCCGGGGCCCTCACGGATCGGCCCGGCCCGGAAATGCAGCAGGCAGATGGGGCCCAAAGGTGCGGTTCGCATGTTTGCCAGTTGCGTCGGAGCTCGGGGTCAGGAGCTGCGCGCCGCCGCGGTGGCGCTGTCTGCCAGCCGAGCGGCTCGCCTCCCGCGCTCTCCGCGGCTCGCGGGCTGCATGAAATGCCCTCGCGGTGCAGAGGGCGGTGCCATGCCGCGGCCGCCAGCGGATGCTGCGCAGGGATGCGCCACGTCGTGGGGGTTGGCGCCGCAGCGCCCTGCCAAGCACCGCGCCGCCCTCGGCAGGCGCCCACTCGCGGTGCATGCTCCGCGCCACGTCTCGAGGGCGATGTGCGGCCGCGGCCGAGTAAATGCGGCCATCCATCTCGGGGTCGCGCACGAACCTTCAAAGTCGTCTCGGAACTGGGGGAGGAGCCATCGACGTCGGCGGGTGGCGCTCGATCGTTTCCCATCCGCGCGGCGTCGAATAAAGCGCGACTGGATCGAGACAGTGAGGATCGCCTGGGTGCGCGACCTCGGCTGAGCGCTGCAGAGTCAGGCGGCGCACGCGCGCGGTCCACGCGGAGAACCTGCAGT